CACTCCCCCTGCAGAGACACTCCCCCTGCAGAGACACTCCCCCTGCAGAGAGACACTCCCCCTGCAGAGAGACACTCCCCCCGCAGAGAGACACTCCCCCTGCAGAGAGACACTCCCCCTGCAGAGACACTCCCCCTGCAGAGAGACACTCCCCCTGCAGAGAGACACTCCCCCTGCAGAGAGACACTCCCCCTGCAGAGAGACACTCCCCCTGCAGGGAGACACTCCCCCTGCAGAGACACTCCCCCTGCAGAGACACTCCCCCTGCAGAGAGACACTCCCCCTGCAGAGAGACACTCCCCCTGCAGAGACACTCCCCCTGCAGAGAGACACTCCCCCTGCAGAGAGACACTCCCCCTGCAGAGAGACACTCCCCCTGCAGAGACACTCCCCTGCAGAGACACTCCCCTGCACTCCCCCTGCAGAGACACTCCCCCTGCAGAGACACTCCCCCTGCAGAGACACTCCCCCTGCAGAGACACTCCCCCTGCAGAGACACACTCCCCCCGCAGAGAGACACTCCCCCCGCAGAGAGACACTCCCCCTGCAGAGAGACACTCCCCCCGCAGAGAGACACTCCCCCCGCAGGGAGACACTCCCCCCGCAGAGAGACACTCCCCCCGCAGAGACACCCCCCAGAGACACTCCCCCCGCAGAGAGACACTCCCCCCGCAGAGAGACACTCCCCCCGCAGAGAGACACTCCCCCCGCAGAGAGACACTCCCCCCGCAGAGAGACACTCCCCCCGCAGAGAGACACTCCCCCCGCAGAGAGACACTCCCCCCGCAGAGACACTCCCCCTGCAGAGAGACACTCCCCCCGCAGAGAGACACTCCCCCCGCAGAGAGACACTCCCCCCGCAGAGAGACACTCCCCCTGCAGAGACACTCCCCCCGCAGAGACACTCCCCCCGCAGACACACTCCCCCCGCAGAGAGACACTCCCCCCGCAGAGAGACACTCCCCCCGCAGAGAGACACTCCCCCCGCAGAGAGACACTCCCCCTGCAGAGACACTCCCCCTGCAGAGAGACACTCCCCCGCAGAGAGACACTCCCCCCGCAGAGAGACACTCCCCCCCGCAGAGAGACACTCCCCCCGCAGAGAGACACTCCCCCCGCAGAGAGACACTCCCCCCGCAGAGAGACACTCCCCCCGCAGAGACATCCCCTGCAGAGACACCCCCGCAGAGAGACACTCCCCCTGCAGAGAGACACTCCCCCCGCAGAGAGACACTCCCCCCGCAGACACACTCCCCCTGCAGAGACACTCCCCCCGCAGAGAGACACTCCCCCCGCAGAGAGACACTCCCCCCGCAGAGAGACACTCCCCCTGCAGAGAGACACTCCCCCTGCGCCCCTCCACCACGGTCCGGGGCTATTATTAAAGGTTTAACACAAGCGGAGAATACAAAAGTGCAGGAGAGACGTGTGTGAAAATGCGTGTCACAGGAAGACGTAATGTGACGCACAATATCAAGTCCTCACCACACCTCATCCCCCACTCCCCGCCACCCGCCACACTGACCCCCCTCATCTGCGCTGGGAAGCGGGCCCTGGCCGCAGTTTTTAACCGCGCCAGAGCACGATTCCAGGAATTGTGCTCTGGCGCGAATGCCGCGGTCAGATGGCACCTAAAGCCCGGATCAAACTGCGAAGCGGGCCCTGGCACACTTTAACCGGGCTTTAGGCTGCGCATGTGACCGCAGCCTAAAGGCACGTTCAGACCACGCTTCAACTGACGCCGGGATAGTTTTGTCATTTTGGTGCTTGAAGCTTTTGACGCGAGTGACGCGCCTGCCGCCGGTGGGAGGAGCTTCTCTGTTGTCTGTAGTCAGGACAGCGGTGGATTTTTCAATGAGCAGCGAGCATTTATTTGTTATATAAAGCAAAATAACGTTGTTGTAGGGCTTCAACAAAACATGTTCTGGGTTCACCACAGACTTGAGAGGCTGCAGTGTTTGCAGAGTTCAGTCATTTACTCCAGGAGCTGCGTACGGAGGAGTCTCGCTTTCAGCGGTACTTCCACATGTCACTCACCCAGTCTGAGTTCTCAAACCCCGGAGCTCGCCTCTCCCTGCATCTCCCCGCCTCTCGCTCTCGCCTCTCCCTGCCTCTCCTCGGCTCTCCCTCGCCTCTCCCCGCCTCTCCCCGGCTCTCCCTCGCCTCTCCCTGCCTCTCCCCGGCTCTTGCTCTCGCCTCTCCCTGCCTCTCCCTCGCCTCTCCCTGCCTCTCCCCGGCTCTCCCTCGCCTCTCCCTGCCTCTCCCCGGCTCTCCCTCGCCTCTCCCTGCCTCTCCCCGGCTCTCGCTCGCCTCTCCCTGCCTCTCCCCGGCTCTCCCTCGCCTCTCCCTGCCTCTCCCCGGCTCTCGCTCGCCTCTCCCTGCCTCTCCCGGCTCTCCCTCGCCTCTCCCTGCCTCTCCCCGGCTCTCCCTCGCCTCTCCCTGCCTCTCCCCGGCTCTCTCTCGCCTCTCCCTGCCTCTCCCCGGCTCTCTCTCGCCTCTCCCCGGCTCTCCCTCGCCTCTCCCTGCCTCTCCCCGGCTCTCGCTCGCCTCTCCCTGCCTCTCCCTCGCCTCTCCCTGCCTCTCCCCGGCTCTCGCTCGCCTCTCCCTGCCTCTCCCCGGCTCTCGCTCGCCTCTCCCTGCCTCTCCCCGGCTCTCGCCTCTCCCTGCCTCTCCCCGGCTCTCCCTCGCCTCTCCCTGCCTCTCCCCGGCTCTCCCTCGCCTCTCCCTGCCTCTCCCCGCCTCTCCCTCGCCTCTCCCTGCCTCTCCCTTGCCTCTCCCTGCCTCTCCCCGGCTCTCGCTCGCCTCTCCCTGCCTCTCCCCGGCTCTCGCGCTCGCCTCTCCCTGCCTCTCCCCGGCTCTCCCTCGCCTCTCCCTGGCTCTCGCTCGCCTCTCCCTGCTCTCCCCGGCTCTCCCTCGCCTCTCCCTGCCTCTCCCCGGCTCTCGCTCGCCTCTCCCTGCCTCTCCCCGGCTCTCGCTCGCCTCTCCCTGCCTCTCCCCGGCTCTTGCTCTCGCCTCTCCCCGGCTCTCCCTCGCCTCTCCCTGCCTCTCCCCGGCTCTCCCTCGCCTCTCCCCGCCTCTCCCTGCCTCTCCCTGCCTCTCCCCGCCTCTCCCTGCCTCTCCCCGGCTCTCGCTCGCCTCTCCCTGCCTCTCCCCGGCTCTCGCTCGCCTCTCCCCGCCTCTCCTCGGCTCTTGCTCTCGCCTCTCGCTCGCCTCTCCCCGGCTCTCGCTCGCCTCTCCCCGCCCTCTCCCCGGCTCTTGCTCTCGCCTCTCCCCGCCTCTCCCCGGCTCTCGCTCGCCTCTCCCCGGCTCTTGCTCTCGCCTCTCCCCGCCTCTCCCCGGCTCTTGCTCTCGCCTCTCCCTGCCTCTCGCTCGCCTCTCCCCGCCTCTCGCTCGCCTCTCCCTGCCTCTCGCTCGCCTCTCGCTCGCCTCTCGCTCGCCTCTCCCTGCCTCTCTCTGGCTCTCGCTCGCCTCTCCCTGCCTCTCCCCGGCTCTTCTCTCGCCTCTCCCCGCCTCTCGCTCGCCTCTCCCTGCCTCTCCCTGGCTCTCGCTCGCCTCTCCCTGCCTCTCCCCGGCTCTTGCTCTCGCCTCTCCCTGCCTCTCCCTGCCTCTCCCCGGCTCTCGCTCGCCTCTCCCCGCCTCTCGCTCGCCTCTCCCCGCCTCTCGCTCGCCTCTCCCTGCCTCTCCCTGCCTCTCCCCGCCTCTCGCTCGCCTCTCCCTGCCTCTCCTCGGCTCTCGCTCTCGCCTCTCCCTGCCTCTCCCCGGCTCTCGCTCGCCTCTCCCTGGCTCTCGCTCTCGCCTCTCCCTGCCTCTCCCCGGCTCTTGCTCTCGCCTCTCCCTGCCTCTCCCCGGCTCTTGCTCTCGCCTCTCCCTGCCTCTCCCCGGCTCTCGCTCGCCTCTCCCTGCCTCTCCTCGGCTCTCGCTCTCGCCTCTCCCTGCCTCTCCTCGGCTCTCGCTCTCGCCTCTCCCTGCCTCTCCCCGGCTCTCGCTCGCCTCTCCCTGCCTCTCCTCGGCTCTCGCTCTCGCCTCTCCCTGCCTCTCCTCGGCTCTCGCTCTCGCCTCTCCCTGCCTCTCCCCGGCTCTCGCTCGCCTCTCCCTGCCTCTCCCCGGCTCTAGCTCTCCTCTCCCTGCCTCTCCTCGGCTCTTGCTCTCGCCTCTCCCTGCCTCTCCTCGGCTCTCGCTCGCCTCTCCCTGCCTCTCCCCGGCTCTCGCCTCTCCCTGCCTCTCCCCGGCTCTCGCTCTCGCCTCTCCCTGCCTCTCCTCGGCTCTCGCTCTCGCCTCTCCCTGCCTCTCCTCGGCTCTCGCTCTCGCCTCTCCCTGCCTCTCCTCGGCTCTCGCTCTCGCCTCTCCCTGCCTCTCCCCGGCTCTCGCTCTCCTCTCCCTGCCTCTCCTCGGCTCTCGCTCTCGCCTCTCCCTGCCTCTCCTCGGCTCTCGCTCTCGCCTCTCCCTGCCTCTCCCCGGCTCTCGCCCGCCTCTCCCTGCCTCTCCTCGGCTCTCGCTCGCCTCTCCCCGGCTCTCTCCGGCTCTCGCTCGCCTCTCCCTGCCTCTCCCCGGCTCTCGCTCTCGCCTCTCCCTGCCTCTCCTCGGCTCTCGCTCGCCTCTCCCCGGCTCTCTCCGGCTCTCGCTCGCCTCTCCCTGCCTCTCCCCGGCTCTCGCCCGCCTCTCCCTGCCTCTCCCCGGCTCTCGCCTCTCCCTGCCTCTCCCCGGCTCTCGCCCGCCTCTCCCTGCCTCTCCCCGGCTCTCGCCTCTCCCTGCCTCTCCCCGGCTCTCGCCTCTCCCTGCCTCTCTCCGGCTCTCGCCTCTCCCTGCCTCTCCCCGGCTCTCGCTCGCCCGGAGCTGCCTTGCTCTGAGCCAGACTCATCGTCAGCCTGTTCTTATATTAAATAAACTACGTTTACTACACAGCATGTGGATGTAAGGATGTAATGTGTCCGTGCGCCAACAGAGGGCGCCCTTTGTTTTCTTAACTATATAAGCCCTCCGCAGCTTCGCAACGCTGCAGTTCTCTTTTGTTTTTATGAAGGTAAGGAGGGCTCCCGAGTGTAAAATAAGTTTATTTGTGTATAAATGTATGTTGGGTGCCAAATATTGATTGTGGGTTAGCATTTTGTCATAGTACATTTAGGCTGTTTCTCTGTTAAACTTAAGTGGGAAAAATAACTTTGTATTTTGTTTTTAGAGTGCTAGCTTGCACGTGTCCTTGTTAGCATGTGGACTTTACAATTCAGCCTTTGAATGTACAATTTATTACTGCAAAAACAGTTACAATTTCTTCTTAATGAGGCAGTTCTCTTTTGTTTTTATGAAGGCAATAAATGAGGAACGTCTGTTCAGCCTCTTCCACCATTGACTCCTGGTTTCCCTCTCCGCACTGCTGGCCCCTGACCAGTAACACAAACAACACAACGCAGAGATCACACTTGGGGCTTGCCATCGCTGAACTAGGGTTACATGTACAATGATTTTTGTTACTCAGAACGTTACTACTCAAACAAATAATATTACTAATAACAATAATGACAATAAAACAGCAGCAACAGATACATGACTTCTCTTCTTGACAGAGACAGACCCACACCTGCAGCTGCTCGTCTCCTGATTGGTTGAAGCCCGCGTCAAAGCTTCAAAAGCTCAGCTTTGCTCAGCTTCGGCGTCAGAGGGATTGTTTTGATACACGAGCGTTTCGCGCGTCAAGTGACGCCGGGCCCCTCGGCTTCACCTGACGCGCTTCACCTGACGCGCTTCACCTGACGCGCTTCACCTGACGCGCTTCACCTGACGCGCTTCACCTGACGCGGCAGCTCAGGAAAGCCAAGCTGCCTGCACAGATGTTGGTGCAGTTCTACACGGCCATCATCGAGTCCATCCTCACCTCCTCCATCACCTCCTTCATCACCTCCTCCATCACCTCCTCCATCACCTCCTCCATCACCTCCTCCATCACCGTGTGGTTCGCTGGAGCCACAGTCAGGGACAAACAGAGACTACAGCGCATTGTGCGCTCTGCAGAGGAAGTGATCGGCTGCAGCCTTCCATCGCTGCAGGACCTGTACGTCGCCCGAGCTCGAGGCCGGGCTGGTCGTATCACAGCCGACCCCTCTCACCTGCACATGGACTATTCCAACCACTCCCCTCTCACCTGCACATGGACTATTCCAACCACTCCCCTCTCACCTGCACATGGACTATTCCAACCACTCCCCTCTCACCTGCACATGGACTATTCCAACCACTCCCCTCTCACCCTGCACATGGACTATTCCAACCACTCCCCTCTCACCTGCACATGGACTATTCCAACCACTCCCCTCTCACCTGCACATGGACTATTCCAACCACTCCCCTCTCACCTGCACATGGACTATTCCAACCACTCCCCTCTCACCTG